ATAACTCTGTCGCGGTCACCTGAGAGCTCTCAGCCAAGTTTCCGCTTCTGCGATAAATGTTTTGCAGAGCGCCGAGTTGTTTACAATTGCCTCCTAACGACATACCCGTGCGACCGTTCTGTGTAAACCATCAAAGACATCCTGCTTGTCGTAAACCAGGTCTCCTGATGATTAAAATGATGATAATTCATAGAAATAAACTATGAAAGACATCCTGCTCGTCGTAAACCTGGCTCGTGATTATTAAAATGATGATAATTTATATAAATAAACTATGAAAGACATCCTGTTCGTCGTAAACCTGGCTCGTGATGATTAAAATGATGATAATTCATAGAAATAAACCATCAAAGACATCCTGCTCGTCGTAAACCTGGCTCGTGATGATTAAAATGGTGATGATTCATAGAAATAAACCATCAAAGACATCCTGCTTGTCGTAAACCAGGGCTCGTGATGATTAAAATGATGATAATTCATAGAAATAAACCATCAAAGACATCCTGCTTGTCGTAAACCTGGGCACCTGATGATTAAAATGATGATAATTCATAGAAATAAACTAAGAAAGACATCCTGCTCGTCGTAAACCTGGTTCGTGATGACTAAAATGGTGATAATTCATAGAAATAAACCATGAAAGACATCCTGCTCGTCGTAAACCTGGTTCGTGATGACTAAAATGGTGATAATTCATAAAAATAAACCATCAAAGACATCCTGCTCGTCGTAAACCTGGCTCGTGATGATTACATTGATAATAATTTATTGTAATGATGAATGAGTGAGAGAGTTAAAAATAAAAAATCAAAGACATCCAGTTCGTCCCAAACCTGGGCATGTGATGACTAAAAAGGCAACAACTTATAATTAGGATAAATATGTGCGATCATTACGAATAAACAATTAGAGACATGAATAAACAAAGACGTCTTTGATATGTCTTTGATCTACGACATAGATCGTTTATATACGACGATAACTTTACAATGTTTTTGACCATAACTTATGCCAGTTTAGCGACGACTTACAATGTTTTCAATCCTAACTTATCACAGGTTATCGACGAGCTTCGATCATTGATGGATTGTATTCTTCTTCACAATAATTTTATCACGTTGAATATCAGTGAGCCCATACTACTGATGATTAATAGGAATTTCTTTAGAGAATACTTATTCTGTGAGAGAATATTTGATGAGATATATTTTCCATTACCTAGTTTCAGCTGGAATTAGAAAGTTCTTGGCAGTTATGAAATTTATTACAAACGGTATTCATCTTATGTATGAATTTTGTTTAGTAATAAAACCTCATGTAGATTATATCAATTATTAATTTAACAGCAATAAAAATATTCTCAATTTACCTAGAGGGATATTTAGAAATATCTCGAATTTATTATAATTAAAAAAATATCGTAAACGATCATTAAGCACAGTCAATCGAAGGATCTTTTGAACTTTCTTTGCATTTACTTGGTTTCAACGAAATATTTACTGATCATTTAACATCTGGCGTTTGCTCCAGGACGTGGTTTTATTGTTCAAATTTATTTAATTTTTTATGGAAGTGAATACAGATAATCCAATTATAAAATGCACCGTTGAATATCCGATTCGAACATTTATTCAATGAAAAATATTTACTAATAATAAAGGGAAAATTTTTAAATGGTTACATTAATGTTATATACTCGACTAAACACGATCAGTGTTGATTATGCGATTCTAGCTTAAACTGAGAAGCATTTTTATGCATTTTTATTTTAAGGAACTCACTGAACCACACAAAATATTCATCATTGATTTCAGTTATTAACCACTTTCTTGCTAAAATATTTACAGTAAACTTTTTCGATAACAATTAAAATTGAGTCCCCAGATCAAGAGAAACTACATGATTGTTCGAAGGCTGTCAATCTATCGAAACTTGAGTCGGTAAATTAGTTTCAAACGACCGGTCACATCTCAGGATTTTTTGAACGACCACAATGTTTCATAATAACAATTAATCTCAGAAGTCGAACTTGATCGTCTGCAATATTTCAAATGATTGATAGTACTTTGGTGATTCTGTGTTTGAAATTGGGTAAAAAATTGTAGACATTAAAAGTTTATAAACTAATTGTAGTAAAACAATGGATGTAATTCAAATAAAATGCCTTCCTCCTTGAAATGTAATTTGATGAATTGAATTCAAATTGTTTTTATAAATAATAATTTATTAATAATAATAATAATAAATTGAAGCAAAATCTTAGTTAACAAAAACCCGCTAAATAAATTCAATTAATTAAGTATCAAACGTATTTGAACACATTTATTTTATGAATTAATTTTTGGGTATGTATAAACTCAATAATTATTCGATAAATAAATGTGAGATTACTCTCACTTCTTGGAGACAAAGTAAGATAGCGTCGCAATTAAATTCGTTACTGCCAAACAATATAATATTTATTCAAAAAGGTTACATTTCGTAATTACTTAATAAAAATATATAATAAAAAAATTATTATGGTTCATGATTCCAATCAGTGGGATTTAGACGAGGCCCATAGTTTTCATTTTCCAATTATATAAATAAAATGTAAACCAAAATAATCTATAGGTAAGGATTTCACAGTTAACGAAATTCTCAGGATTTAATTATATTATTAGAATCTATCCGTTATAATTTTATCACTATAACTATTCCTATTCATACATCATTCATGACAGCGGCGATAATCAAGCTAATTTAATGAGTTGATAGTGCAATAAAACACGCAAAAAATCAACGACGTACGACGAGGCTAAAGAAATTCGTTGGCATCCAGAAGTAAGTCGTAAAAACGTATAGGTTTTGAGGGTTGATGAACGTCTTATAGGATTATGGAGTGAGCTGGAGCTGGTGGTATGGAATGAGCTGGATCTGATGGTATGGAGTGAGATGGTGCTGATGGTATGGAATGAGCTCGAGTTTGTGGTATGGAATGAGCTCGAGCTGGAGCATGAGGTATGGAATGAGCTCGAGCTGGTGGTATGGAATGAGCTCGAGCTGGTGGTATGGAATGAGCTCGAGCTGGAAGTATGGAATGAGCTGGAGCTGATGGTGTGGAATGAGCTGAAGCTGGAGGTATGGAATGAGCTTGAGATCCTGGCATGAAATGAGCTGGAGCTTGAAGTATGGAATGAGCTCAAGCTGGTGGTGTGGAATGAGCTGGATCTGTAGGTATGGAAAGAGCTCGAGATGCTGGCATGGAATGAGCTCAAGATGCACGTATGGAATGCGTTCAAGATGTTGGTGTGGAATGAGCTCCGGATTCTGCAGTGGAATAGCTCGAGATGATAGTCTGGAAAGATCTTGAGATGCTGATGTGGAATGAGCTGGCATACTAGAACATGCGGCAATATCTCTCTATGAAAAATTTTCTTCCTTGCGGCAAAAGCTTCTTCGTCAATTAAACAGAGTGCCACTTGGATTGGATAACTTCAGCGTTTGCCGTTGTAGTCCTCATGTTGTTTATGTTCATTGTAAAAATAATCTTGAAATAAAAACTTCATAGAAGATGAAGCTGGGCAATAAACTTGAGGCGATATGTACTTAAATTATACTACCGGAAGAAATTTTTAGTCTATAGATCCATGTAAGCTAATATGTTAACAGATTTACATAATCTTTTCGAACCACTCATCGGGATGACTTTTGGCAGTCAACATAATATAAAAAAAAGTCACGCGTCAGTGCTTTGAGAGAATGATGAATTTCGTGCACCATTATGACCATCAAGTTTTAATTCACAAGTTGCAAATAAAAGAAAGAGATGCCCGGCTTCACTGTATGACTTTCGTGCAATTGTTCGATGATCGATGCTCCACATTTTAAATTATATAACATATAATTATTCGAAATCGAAAATTTTAAAGTGAAAAAGTCGATTATTTATATTATCGCAATAAAAAAATAATTATCTCAATTTAATCTGATTTAACAACTTCATGAATAATTAATAATTATTATTAAACTTTATTTGATAACATCACTCAATTTCTTGACACAGGAGCAGTTTTTCTTTACGATATTTCACTGTAAATCATGAGAATCCATCTGATTACCCGCTGATTCCAAATTAAAAAGCCATTTTAATGATTGATTTCCTTGACTCGCAGTTCACTCGTAGGTATGGTTACTTGCATGAATAATATTCTATTAATATCAGTATATAAATAAAAATTTCTATCTATATCGATGTAAAACATGTTTCCAAAAATTATTTTTTTACTGGTAAATTCGTTTATGATTTTTCACATTAGGCCAAACCATTTGTCATGATAATTTTAACGACAGATTTTCTATGAACCAATGCTACATCAAATTATATCATGGAGAGATAACCTTTAAAAATTTTCACTTTAATCTATTATAACTTATAGCCGATTACTTGCATTTTGATAAAGGTTCAACGTTACACTTTTGAACTTTATTTTCAATTTGAATTTTGGGTTGGCTAATTGACAGAAGAGAACTTGGAGAACATTGGCATTCACGATATATTTGAAATTTTGATGGATGTTCATGGATATAAGAAATTACAAGATAGAATATTCGTTTTGCCGCTTATATCATATTTATTAATCTGCACTTTTTAGGGAGACTTCACAGTCATGATGTACATTGAGATTAGAAAACAAGTTAATCTGTAATATAATCATATGTGCTTTTCAAAATGCTTTCGATATGTGGATGATATGTGTGCGGAAAAACAGCATGTTGTCCAATGGAAATAAAATAATATCATTAAGAGTGCAATATAAGAAAATAAATTAATAAAGAAGTCTACCTTCATGACGCTGGGCGGTTAAACAGCATGTAGTCCAATGGAAATAAAATAATATCATTAAGAGTGCAATATAACGAAAAAAGTCTACCTTCATGACGCTGGGCGTTTAAACAGCATGTAGTCCAATAGAAATTAATAATATCATTAGGATTGCAATATAACGAAAGAAGTCTACCTTCATGACGCTGGAGAAGGTCAGGGCATCCATGAGCCCCTGGAAAAACAAAGCCCGTCGTTCTGCCTCCATTGCCTTCCTACTCGACAGCTCTGACAGGGTCACCCCTGGTGGACAAACATTTTCCATTTAGAAATTAACAGTGTTTAGTTATGTCGAAGAATATCGTTATCAATTATAAAAAAAATCTTTGAAGAATATATGTCCAGCCATATCTTAATGAGGATGAGAATAAATAATTTGTTATCATGATCAACTAGCTTAAAATGGTTAAAAGAGAATAAGTTACCCCTCTAAAAATAATGTTTTTGAATCATTGAAACACAATAAATTTATTTTTATTTATTCCATTCCCATCTAATGCAAAATTTTTATTCGATTTGAATGATAGACTTGAAGATCAGCTGTGAAAGTTAATTCGTAAGAATATTATCTCAACATATGCAAAAACTAATTAATGAAAATAGGAGAAAAAATGGAAGAAACCTTTTGAGTTAAAATATATTGATTAATATTATCATCAGTAAATATTTATTAGCTAAGTGTGTCAAAAAACACTAATTATCCTAGAAATTATCCACTGAAATTTTGGAAAACTTATTTGGGTTCCGATTCTAATTTGAACGATGAAATAAAAGGAAATTATCTGATTTTTGAATGAACTTTCGTATTTTAAATTTAATTCATTCGCAAATTTCAATACTACCTTCCAAGCTGGTTATTAACTTTGAATTTAGCCAAAACAAGAAGCAAATTGTAGACAAATTCATTTACTTAAAATTTAAAATAATTTATTAATACACAAACTCAATTTATTAATAAGTATTTTTCTTGCTTACTTTTCTTATTCCTTGCTTCATCAGGACCATTAATCCTTGCATCGTGTGCCTCCATCACGTTTTTATCACTTGCCAATTCTTCACGATATTCCAAACTTTACTTTTCATCAAGAAATCATTGCAATAAAATATCCCTATCCGTCCTTATGAAGACATCACTGTAAAAAATAAAACATCCAAAACACATGGTACCACGAAAAACATTGATCGTTGATAAGTTATGATCGACTGCGAAGTGAGAATTTCATCGGAAAAATCTGTTAACATAAAAATCTGATGTATGGAATTATTCGATCAGTTAAACATTGATTTCGATCACGTAACAATGGAGTCTGTAGAGGATATGTGTAAGATTTTGATCAATTCAGTATTGTATGATAGAGGATATTAATTATTGCATACGCTCTCGCAGTATAATTTCCAAATTATTGCCCTAGCAGTATAACTTCCGTGGAAAAACATTCTTTTCAAATTTCAAAATAGTTCCTCTTATGATTGCTTCAACGTTATGTTTCTTTACCTACTGCATCTCACGTCATAATAACACAACACCTAAGCCTATAAAAAGATATTGAAAAAGGATCAAATTCATGAAAAACATGCACCTGATTATACGGGAAATAAATTATGCGTTTATACGAGAACGCGTTCATGTCAAACATGGTAAACCAAAGCCCACCTCAAGTAAACGAGATGCTTGGGGGTTATAAATTTTGAGAGCAAACACACGATTTTCTCTTCTACTTATTTGGTAAACGCATATTTTTTTTTAATTACTACATGCTCGTGGAGATGGTAGGGAATCTAAAAACACGTAAAATGACTTATATATAAAACTTATTCTGCCTTGTAGCCATTTAAAATCCAATAATTCACGAAACGGGAAATCGAAAGGGGAAACTTCCATGTGTTTGGTAGCATGGCTGAATATTTTACATTCGACAACACAACGATATACAGATACAAAACTCTACGGGAGCTCCCCGGAATATTTACACTTCGATTTGCTAATAGATACTGGTTTTCGAATGCTAAATAATAATGGAATAATGGTTTTGTTTGCATAAGCTGCGGAGCTCCTTGAGCGCGCACCGATCGTCGCGAGAGCTTTAAAGTGACTGAAACCTTAGCACTCGACTGACGTGTGCGGTGCGGGATGAGGGAAAGAGGGAGAGAAGGAGAGGGAAAGAGGGAGAGGGAAGATTCGAAACTTAAAGAGAGTTTGGAAAAGAGGGTGAAAAGAGAGGTAAACTGAATAAGTGGAGCTTAAAAAGTAGAGTGATGCATGAACGGACGAGCTGGTTGAAAATAAGACTTGAAGAAGAGAAGGGAAAATGACGAGGAAGAAAAGGGAAATTGAAGAAATGAATGTCCTGTTTGCAGGAAGGATGCGATATAAAAGTAACAGGCCCATTACAGAAAGTTGGAAGTGAGAATGGAAAAGATGGCAAACACTGAATTGGAGAGAGCGAATTTGAGATAATGGGAGAAAAGGGAAAATCCTAGTGACATCAACAATTAGTCAGCTATTTAAAAGCAATTTGAAAAATGTATATTTTAAAACGAAGGATAAGCGTATTATAGTGGTAATGAAAAATAACGAAAATCCGGGGAGTCTAAGCACAGGCATCACGCAGAGCACCAAATAATCCTTTCAAAATAAATACATCGCATGATTTATTTAGCGTATCGAATAAAATGTTCATTCTTTCGTGGAAGATGTGCTAAATAAATAGCAATGTATATTTTAACTTGGCCCTGACGTCGAAACGTAGAAGAGTCTCACAGTTCATAGTCAATTTAATCGCAGATAATAAGAATTCATAGTTAATTTAATCATAGATGATCACAATTTATTTCACAATTGTCAGTTTCACAATTAATGCGATTATGTATCACAATGCAATTACTCGAACGATGGGAGTATGGTGAATGTTGTTACTAAATTTTCATCTTCATACTTTAACGTTAATGTTCATTCATAAGTTTTTTTCGATTAATTCGTTACCTCGGCTTAGGATTTAAATTTTAAATCGATTATCTTTTTATTACTTCTACTAATTTATTAGTTAACAGAAATCACATTAGTTTTGCACTGAAAATTAAAACTATAATAATTATGCAAACTACAAAGAAATGAAACAAAACGAGATGCAAAAGTTCCTATTGAGAAAAAAATTGAAACCCAGACGTTGTCGCCAGCTATCGATTTTTGGGGCTAAGCCCTGGCAGTGAAACCAACGTTCTTCGCTGAAGAGCGATAACTCGTCTGCGGAATGATTTTCAGTACAACTATCGTTCTGCGGCAGGATTTTCATTAAAATTGTTAAACTTCGGAATGATTCTCATTACCATTATCGTTCTGCGGCGGGATTTTCATTAAATTTATTTTATTGCGGAATGCTTCTCATTAAAATTATCGTTCTGCGGCAGTATTTTCATCAAAGTTATTGTATTGCGGAATGATTCTCGTTACTCGTTACCATAATCGTTCTGCGGCAAGACTTTCATTAAAGTTATTGTACTGCGGAAGGATTCTTATTATAATTAGCGTTTATATAATGAATGAAAAATTCATAAAACCTATTGTACCGTGAAAATATTCTCATTATAATTATTCTTATGCGGCAGGATTCGCCTTTCATTGTTATGCGACAGGATGCCTTTTACAATTATTGTTCTGCGGCGGAATTATCATTACAAGTTTTGTTCTGTGGAAGGATTCTTTTTACAAGTAATGTTCGGCGGCAGGATGCTTATTACATGTATTGCTTTGTATTTAGATATTAGGTATTAATTATCGTTATGCGGTAAGATCCTTGTCATAATCGTTGTTAAGCTGCAGCTTCTTGTCGAAGTTATTTTTCTGCCTCATGGTTCAGGTTACAATATTATTGTTCTGCGGTAGGACTCATCATTCCGGCAAACTGTTGAAATCACTATTCTGTGATATGATTATCGTTAGAATTATTTCCATGCGATATTATTCTCACGACTGTCGTTGTTTTACTATAAGGTTTTCGTTAAGATTAATGCCCTGCCGCTGAACTATAATTAAAAACGATGTAATGCGGTCATTATCTGCTTACAATAAACGTGTTGCGATAAATCCCTGTTGCAATAAATGTTCTACGACAGTAATCTCGTTAAAATAATTTTTCTGTGAAGATATCCCGTATACAATAAATTTTTCGTGGGTATATGATTTACGATATACTCGTAAATTCTGCGATATTATTCTAGGAGCGATATAGTATCTTCGCTAGTGTTCTATTATTATTATTAATATTATTATTATTATTATTATTATTATTTTTATTATTATTATTATTATTATTATTCAATTATATTAACAAAAATGTTATTCATTTGTATCCAATTTTTAGCAGTGGGATTCTCATTTCCAATAATTAATTAGTTTATTCTTTGAGCAATTAAGCTCAATTTGATATTAGAGCCATTTTAAAAACTCGAATTCAGATGAAGAACTTCTAACGCAATTTCAATTTGGAAAAACTCCGAATTTATCGAAAATGCTGGCGTTTGACATATATCAACGTTTGATATGTAATACGGTTCGACATGAACGAGTTTTTATAGCGGTCGACACGAATTAACTATTGATATAACACTAATATATTTGATATATATTAGTGTTATATAAATAAATCACTCTGATTGCTATCACTAAGAACATGTTTTCCAATGCATGCTGTTAATTAATAGGTACGCTCTATAAAAAGTTTTGTTTCCTATTTTATTTAATTACTTATTTCGCGTTTCAACTATTAATATTTCTTCAAGATTGGTATCAAGTTTTAATGCGTAACGTGCATCATAGTACTAATGTTTAAATCAGTCACCAGCTTAATTTGACAATTTGCAATGATAATAAAGGGACGACAATCATTACATTTGTATTATAACTACAGTAAATGCTTGGTGTTATTGCACGGTCGGATCCATGCCTCGCTAAGTTCTACTAATATTGAACTGAAGTTAATATGAGTTTGGTTAAGATACGCAGCATTAATTATAAGTAAAGACGAAATGTATCAATCCTTAGCATTGCCAGATAATCATTAAAATAATTATATCATGGCATAGGTGAAAATAAAACGTATAAGGCCTAGACATTGCTGAGCATTCAAAGATTGAGATCTAAATTGATGTTACAAACATCGGCGAGTTACCAAATGCATCGCGGGAAATAAAGTAAAAAACAAAACGTAGGTAAAAATGTTATTTATCTCAGTATTTTAATATCGAAGATGTTATATCGAAGATTATCGGAAGGTTTTATTCAGTTCCTGTTTTTTTTTTCTAAGCGGTGGGTGCCTTGGAATTTTTTTCTGGCGTTCACCGAAATTAAAAACAGTTCTGTTACCCGTAAACACTCAATTTTCTGTAGGGAATTTCATAGAAAATTGCATTAGTGATAGTCCCGGTCATTTTTTCCCCAAGCCCCAAATGATGCTAAGAATAGAATAGAATAGAAGTGTCGGCGTTGAAGAAATAGGCCCATGGCCTGTTGCCGATTCTTGAACTTTTCGTGACTTGATTCACAAGGGATCCGGCCTTTGGAACCCGATCTTTCCATAACTGACGATTGATTGAGATAGCTGCTGGACTTATTGCCTGCTCCGTAATTTGCTAGGCATTTTAAGACTGAACATATGCTCCTGCATAGCTTCGTCTAGTCTGTTTTTGAAGATGTTCATACTCGGAGCTTCAACGATGCTATCAGGGAGGCTGTTCCACATGTCGGTGACTCGAAGCGAGAAGAAATGTTGTCGCATGGATGTGTTCCAACGCAGTTTTTTTAGTTTATAGCCGTGGCCCCTGGTGTTGGTTCTTGTTTCAAATTCTAGTAATCCTTCTGGGACCTTGAACTCCTTCTGGGCTAAGATTCTTTTCACTTGCGAACACAAAATAGCTTAATAATATTAAGATAAATTAATCAATAAATTACTCACACGCATTAATTTTTGCATCAATTACAAACTTACTCACATTTTGAGAGATGTCAGCTCCACAAAGAATTTCACATTACCTATTGAAAAAAAATTAAACGTGAAGTAAAATATTTTTATTGAAACCTCTGGGGATTATAAAGTTTCATAATCATGTTCTTAATTTCAGCACATCAATAAAATCATTTCATTTTTAATTTATTCATTTGTATATAATATAATCAAAAATTTTTAAGAGACCCACGGAAATAAAAACTAATATTCAAATC